CACACCCCCCTCCCCTACCCACTTTGATGCATTTTTCAAATTTTGCCTTGGGGCGGAGTTATCTTTTCACAGTGGGGGTAAGATACACTTTAAATCTCAATTATAAAAAAAATAAAAACATTTTACTTTTTTTAAACTCCGCCCATTTAAAATCAATTCAAGGTAGGAAAACAAATGAGAAACGTGTGTGTTTTATGAGCAGGGCTGATGTTGGTATATTTTCAGATTAAAAAAGGCTGCTGTGTGTTCTGAGGCCTGCTTGTGTTTGCAGAGAACCCACCGTGTGTACTGCGTGCGCCTGGCGCAGGTGCTGGTTGACGATTACTGCAGCATGGTACCGGGCTCTGTGCCCACCCTGCAGAACATCCACAGCATGAGTCCACGCTTCTGCTGCCAGTTCATCACAGCCGTCAGCACTTTGTACGACCTCAGCTCAGGTGACTCCAGGTGACACGCGAGGCGAGCGCGGAACAAACACACACACACACACACACACAGAACCGCCAGAACGTCTTTCTGCTCTGCTTTCAGAAGAGCTCGTCCCTCCACTTGAACTCCTCCAGATGATTGTGTCGTGGATCCAAGAAGACCCCCGCCTCGTTCTGATCACCTTCCTGAACACGCCCCTGTCTGGCAGCCAGCCAATCAGCTCTCTGGACGTCACGCCGTTGGGCAGCTTGGTCCGCTGGTGTGTCAAAGCTCCGCTGGCCTACAGGAATGAGAAGAAGCAGGTGCTGGCTAACAGGAGTGCTGACAGCGAACCAGACCCACGGCCTCTGTTCTCTGCTCTGCATTTAAGTGTCCTACAGGTGGGCGTAAAGATTCACTTAATAAAACCATCACAGTGTGCACAATGGGCCTCATGCAAGAACATGTTCGTATTCTTATCCTAAATTTCTCTTACTTTTGTTCGTACAAAGGGTTCATATCCAGCTGCTCGTGCACGAGGAGAGGTTATTTACATAATTAACACCCCAAAAACACCATATAAGGCTATGTTTCCTGCCCCACATACCAGGGAGTGTCCATTCATGAAAGACATAGCAAAGTAAAAAAAATAAGAACTTTACGAATACGGAGATTGTAGTCCTGCTCTCAGAGATCAAGAAAAGAAAATCTGTCATTTTTTTAGCGGCGTCGTGGAATTAAAGGAGCTGCTTAAAGGAATGAGATGTGCTATTAATGTCGTGTCTCCTGTGGGCCGTTACAGTCACAGAAATAAAAATCTAAATCATATTCATCTCTCTCTAGTCCTGCCCTGGTTTTGCTTTGGTCAAATATTTTTTAATTTAAGTGTAAACAACTGTGTTACTGTGTTTACATTTATTCAGAAGACGGACAGTCGCGCACCGCTACCCCCCGCCTGCCCGTCTCCCCCTCCCGGCCGTCGCAAGTGACAGATGCATTTCTGAAAAGATGCATTTTAAACTGTCTCCAAACTTCAGTTAATGCAGTTGTTTTTTAGTTTGTGATCTTCATATTAATATCGTAGTGTTATACAACAGCATTAAAAGACAATTTAATTTAATCTAATCAATTTATGTCGTTAAAATCTAATTCCAGTTCAAACAGAATAGCCTATTGTCAACATAATTATGGAGTGTGATTTATTTTCAACTCGAAATATCTTCAAACTAATAAAAAATGAAGTTATTAGTGAGAAAAATCCATCCAGATAACAGCAGACTGACTGCTCGTAAAATATACGACACTCGTGAATTTTGTTCATATCTGAAGAAAATCTTGGAATACGAGAAAATTGGTGAATGCCACAAATTCTCCTAAATCACTCGTACGCACAACTTAAGAACAAATCTGTGTGTACGAACGGTTCTTGCATGAGGCCCAATGTGTGTAAAGATTCACTTAGTAAAGCCATAACAGTGTGCACAAAACTCCAGTGTGTGATAAAAGGTCGTCACAATGCTTTTTAGCTTTTTTTATCTTAATTGTTAAAATCTTTTTCTACCTCTTATTCTATTTTTTTAATGTTCTGATTTATTTGCTACGGTTGTGGACTGCAGTGTTCTTTTCAGTGCAACAATGACCATAAAGATTTATCGTATCTCTTCCCCATCACGAACCATTCGCAGGTCTTTATGCTTTTGCCCAACGTTCTGAACGAGAAGGGGCTTTTCGGTCGCCTGGCGCTGCTCCAGATGGAATCCGTGGCGGCCCTGACCTCTGACCTGTCCCGCCTTCTGGACCAGGCCGACAAACACGCGCACACATCAGCGGCTGGAGCACAGGTGCCGCCCCAGCTGGCCCTGGACCGGCTGGCACAGGCCCTGCAGGTGGCCATGGCCAGCGGAGCCCTGCTCTGCTCCAGAGGTGAGACAGTAGCAATAAGTCAGAGAGAATCGATCAAAGGCTGCAGAAAATAAACGATGTAAAGTAAAGGGCTGATCTGGTGTGGGGGAAATGTGTTTATGGTAAATAAAAGGAGAGGCAACACGTAGCTCGTGTGTTAGCAGCAGCATTCATCATGTTAATCTCATGCTGCTGAAGTTCTGCTGCACAGAGTCTCTGTTGCTCGTTTTATTTAAAACCAGAACTTATTGTCAAGTTTATTCAGTGATTTTACCAACTTCGTAGCTAAAATATGTTTTGTACTTCTCTAGAAATGCATGATTATATCCAGCCCTCAACTTGAGCCAAACTTTTATTTTTGGTCCCCCATGAATTTGAGTTTAATACCCTGACTGTTAACACTACAAAGAGCTAAATATTTTTTTTAATTTCTCTTTTAAAGGGATCCCCGATTAGTTGTAAC